AGTGGCCTTATCCCTAAGAGGAACATTGTAGACTGTACGGGGGTCCAAGGCACCAATGGACACTAAGAACAAAGCTAGAAATAGAAAATCATTTGTAGGCAGTAGAGTCTAAGGCAAATTTCCTGTGAGAACTGGTTCAAAAAAATGTCAAGTCCACGTGCAAATCTGTTGCTTTTGCCATTTCAGGGCACAAGTGCTTTTCAGTTGAACTTCTGATGGGGGACGTCCTTCTGTATATGTTTCTCTAATTGGATGATGAATAAAACACTGATTGGTCAGTAGCCAGGCAGGTAGATAGGTGGGCCACAAGACCAGGAGAAGGCTAGGGAGAGGAAGGCAGGGAGAATCCGCCTAGAGTAGTCATGTAGCCACCAAAGGAGTAACAGGTCCAGGAATTCTCGGGTAAGCCAAGACCCGAAAATACATGGATTAATAGAAATGGGTTAATAATTAAGAGAGAGCTAGCTACTAAAAAGTCCTAGCCATCAGCCAAAAAGCTTAAGAATTAATAATAGTGTCCCTGTGTTTATTTGGGGCTAAATGGCTGCAGGACCAGGCGGGACAAAAACCTCTGCCTTCAAATTTCCACCTGTTTTAGTAATAGGAGGAGGGGGGAGGGATTGTTAGGCTACAAATCCCTCGAATATCCGGTGGAACTCGTTCCTTTCTAGTTGCAACTGGTTTTTAGCAGCTTCCAAAGCCACTTTCTGAAGAGAAACAGATTCATGCACATGAATTATGGCTTATAAGTATTTTCAGACACTAAGCCTAAGACAGAAACAGTACCAATTCATGTCAGCTTTCTCACTCTAGTGGGGCAAGGTCACACATTCCAGGGTGCTCTATCCTACCAGCAAATATTTCTAGGTTCTTACCATGTGCCCAGCACTGTGGGAAAAGCGAGGCAGACATAGCTCCTACACTCACTTAGCTTAGCCATAGCAAAGGAAGCTGTCAGAGCTTTCCTCCCGTCATGTTATAAAACAGTTCCAACTGACAGCACTTCTAATTTTTGGAGAGAAAAAAAATAAGGTAGGCACACTACATTTTGTAGATGGGACACCTGGGGCAGAACAGGAAAAGCATTTCCTGAATCACAGATGGAGTGGTGGGCCAGAATCAAACTCCCGACTCACACTTGAGCAACTCTGTAACTCTCCCCACGTTTTGCAGGGGTGCTATTTTCAGCTTTATTCCAGACTACAAGGGTATTTCATATATACAGGTAATGGAGCTGTGTCAACAAAACAAGGCAAAACAAAAATCCAAAGAAAAATAACCTTAGACAAAGAGAGTGGTATTTCACTATTGTTATAACATATTTACAATAGCAAAAAAAAAAATGTCACCCAAGTGTCCATGGATGAATAGATTTGGGAAATGTGGTCTATATATACAATGGACTTATTATTCAGCCTCAAAAAGGATGTTAAACTGTGTGGAACAAATACAAACACAAAAAGGACAACTATTTTACGAGGCTAGAGTTTTTTGTTGTTGTTGCTTTTTTTTCTTTTTAGAGGGTATAAAGTTTCATTTTTACAAGATGAAAAAGTTCTGGAGATTAGTTATACAACAATATAAAAATACTTAAGATTGCAGAACTGCAAAAATGATTAAGATGCTATATTTTGTTATGTATTTTACCATATAAATTTTTTTAAAGAAACAGTCTGTTACTCACCTCATTGTGTTACTAATTTTTCACAGCAGTATTCTTATGGCTTCAGTTCTCCACAGGAATGGGCTCTCTCTTGGTTCTATTAAAAGATATCAAAGAATTTTCTGTGATGTTTTGAGTGACTTCTAAATTAAAAATTGCTATTCGATGTTCTAAACATTACATTTAGGAATAAGGCAGATAGTGTTTTCCTGTTGGTTGATGCTAACAGCTGCAATGTTTCTTATGTAGATCTCTGGAGGGTCCAGAAACAGAATAAACAGAGATCATCCCAACTACCCAAGACGGACACACTTGAAACCAGAGCAAACACATCATGCAGTGCATCCAGGGGCCATGTATATAATTTGTACCGCTATTCAATTCCTAGACTTGCATGCATCTTTACCCTCAGCCACTACTGTAATTCCTTTTGCTCACCAGCAGTTCACAGGACACTGACCTGAAGTATCTAATAAACCATGGGTCTAAAATAGGGTTGTAGATAAATGCCGGCCCAGATTACTGAGGCTGACAGATGCGTCCTTCTCATTCTTGCTGTCTGCTTTTGGAAAGAACCTGGAACAAGAGGAGTTTCCGTCCTTTAATCCTGTCTGCTTTCATTTCTCAATCTTCAACCACATGTCTAAACAGCTGGGCTTTTAGGCCCCTGTCCTGCATACAGTATGCACAAGCAACTAATTGATGACATAAACAAATATTTAAAAGTTCACAGTAGGAAAAAATTGATTAATGAAAGTATGTTTACTACTGTACACACCTATTTTATAGCCTTCCCTAGCCGTTTGATCTTGTAATACATGGGAGGAATTAGGAATTATGGCTGGAGACTTCCCAAATATCTCATCTGATTGGAGCCTTGCTAAATACTGACCACCAAAACAGCTGAGGAATCAAAAATATTTTTCTCCCAACTCATGTTTTTCTTTTTTTTATGAAAAAAAAGATTGTGGGGGTAAAAGAAATGGGTTAGCATACAGAGAAGGACTCACTGAGTGACAGCTGTCTCTGTTCACTGTTCCCAACTCATCTCTTTTACACAACTTAAACACCATACAATCCTAAAACACAGGAACCTCTGCTTGTCTTTACATTAACTTGCCCTCTTCACAAAGCTGTTTCAGGTGAAGAACTTTGCCTTATCTGCCTTTATAGTCCTGATGCCCAACACAGAGCCTGATACATACTAGATACTCACTAAATGATCACTGGATCAAAGAGTCAAGTTTTGACATGACAACATACATAGGATAACATGCACAGGACAGATATGATGTCGAAATTAAAAAAAAAAAAAGAAGTGAGGCACAGTGGAAACAATTTCTACCCTAGAACTTTCTCTGATTTAAACAGTGTCTTTCTGTGCTTTATACTGTAAACAAAATTCCTTTAATGCTGAATTGGCCGTTATGCTGCCCAGGGCCTAAGGATACAAAGCAGCACTGCTACTTCAGAAACCAGACTAACCCCAAGAGAGTATCTACCTTTTATCTTGGAGGGAGGGAGCTAAATCTAGGAGTCTCTGGAAACTGATGGTGCTGAAATTACATTTCTTTAATGTATTTCAAAACTATTCAGTAACGGGTAATGTGGGTTTCTCTCTAAGCTAGATAAGCAATTTCAGATTTGCAGCAGGGCAAGCTAGAACACAGAATTTATTTCCCAAGGCAGAATAAAAAGCTCACAGACTCAAATTGCTGCTGACCTTGATGTGAAGGCCGGAAATCAGTTGCTGAAATTTGATTATTTCTAGGTACCATTCCCACTATCATAAAGAAAGCAGTCTTGAAGGGAAAAAAAATCAATTGCAATGGAAATATTTAGCCTTAAACTACCTACTCTGCTTCCGGTTAGTGCTTCCCCAGAAATGTAGTAGGATAAGATTCAAAGACTATTCTAAACACAAAAGTATCCTTTAAAAAGTAAATGCTATTAATTGAAAATATTCGCTTAAATTAAGTAATCAAAGAAAAGCAAAGACAAAAATGCTTTTCCCAGAACTCAATATATAGAGTAAAGCCATTTTCCAGCAGATTTTAAAGATGAACATTTAAAAAAATTTACAAGATACACTTTCAAAGATCAAATTACAGAATAAACCTACACACAAAGTTCCAAGAACGAGGACAAAACAGGCGTAGATCCCAAATGCACGAATAAAATCGACAAAAGAGCATTTTAAAATCGCCTTACCTCCAGTGCAGAGGATTGCAGTGGAGCCAGCAGATTTATTTGCAGCTTGGTTAGCATGAAACGGAAGGGGAGTCTCCTTTGGTTGCCTCTTTCCCACCCCCTTTCTTAAACCATGCTTCCAACCCTCTCCGCTGGTGTAATTGACAACCTAAGAAATGCACTGCCCGCCAAGTGAGCACTCGGAACAGGGGACAGCCCCCGAGTGGCCACCCCTCCTTCCCTTTGGGCGACGCTCGCTCCACTTCCTGTTAGGCAAAAAGGCATTCCCAAGAAGCTCGGTTTTGTAGTTTCCAAGCCATCTCCCAAAGCCAGACCCTCTTTCTCGGTTTCCTCTCCTAGGTAACAACTTTTAATAATTCACGTGACGGGCCAGGTGACCTTGTCTAAACAATTTCCCAGAAAGATGCTGGAGTGTGTCCCTCTGCCCAACCCAGGCCCGCAAGGCTTATCCCCAGATTTCCTCATCTAGCCAGCTTGTGACTGAACTTCCAGAAATGAACCATAGTGACAGCTACCATAATGGGGTGACCGGCATCCTAAAGGGACCTGTGCTTGCGTTTGTCTTCAGGGTTGCAACCAATTGACGGAGGGAGAAACAGCACGAAGCCATAGCCTCCATGGCCCGCTTTCTAAAAGAATTCCTTTCAATACCTTTAAGTGTTTCTTTTGCAAGGCACCCAACGATCGTGTCCCGCGTGGCGGTTTCCGCGGGTGGAGTGCACTCCTTTAGCGTTGACCTCGAGAAGCCATCGTCGCGCATCCTGCGCACGTGGCTGCCTGGGTTCTTCAGTGTTGTGTGCTGCCTCAAGCACCACGGGGATTTGAGGTCCGGAGGGTGTTAACGCAGAAAGGGCAGGCGTGGGCTACCCTGCATCCGGGAAACGCTGGCGGTGGGCGATCGGGGTGGGTGACAGCAGGCCCTGAACCCAGGCAGCCAAGTCTGCAGAGTGCCAGCTGTGGCTCTCCTCGGTGACTTCAGGAGATAGGACCCCCCCCAGCTAAGCTAGTGAGCCCCGGCGCCCAGCTGCCTCGGCGGTCTGCAGCCCTCCACAGTCCCGCCTCCTGCCTCCGTAAGCCCCGCCCCCGCCCGAGCCCCTACCCCGCCTCCGGCTTTCCCGTCCCAGGACGCGTTGCGCGGCCCGGGCCGGAAGTCCTCGAGTTCCCGGGTGTGTGTCTGTGTCTGTGTCTCGCGGCGCTACGCCGCCGCGGTCAAGCGCCTAGGGGGTCCGCGTCTGAAGCGTCACCTCTGTCACTGCCGCCACCATACCGAGTCACTTCTAGAGGGACGGAGGCCCGGCCTTCGCCGGGTGGAGAAGATGTTGCCCCTGTCCATCAAGGATGATGAATACAAACCACCCAAATTCAATCTGTTGGGCAAGATCTCAGGCTGGTTTAGGTGCGGGGTGCTGTGTGTGCTGGGAGGGGGCTGCCTGGCAGGAGACAAAGCCGGGAGCTAAGGGTGGTCTGAGGTCCGGGGTGGGAGCGTCACCCTCCTGCTGTGGTGGAGGGAGCATGTGGACTGGGTGGGTCCTGAAAGGAGGACTCGATTTTAGGGTCCCGGCATCCCCTTGGCTCCTGCCTGCTTCTAATCACCTGTGTCGTGCTCAGGTCCATCCTGTCGGACAAGACATCTCGGAACCTGTTTTTCTTCCTGTGCCTGAACCTCTCTTTCGCTTTTGTGGAACTACTCTACGGCATCTGGAGCAACTGGTAACCAAAGGGGAAGATGGTTGGGGCGGAAGCAGAGGGCGAGGGAAACTAGCCACTATTTGCTTAGTGCCACGTAGCTCCCTACCGGTTCAGGTCTTACCTTTGCCACTACCACTTCTGCTGAGTTGCTCTCTCATACCTTCATCAACGCAGAAGGGAAGGGATGCTTTTCTAAGATCAGGGCCCATAAAGTACAGCCTCTGATTCCCTGCAACTTCATCAGACAGCACTGACAGGCCCACTCCTCTCTATCTCCCCCCCCGATAAAAATCAATCTCTTCTTTAACTGCTTCCCTTGCTTTGGCTCAGGAAAACTGGGAGGATCCTGTTAGCTAACCTCCCGGTGGGTGTGGTATTTTTTTTTGGATTTTACCCTTAAGATTCTGAGAGGGGAGGTCTGAGCTACCCTGTTGAAATTGTGATTATTGTTGAGTGGCTTTTGAAGAGGTTTGTGAAGAGACCTTTGGCAAAGCATATGCCATTCTCTTTTACAGTGAAACTGTGGCATTATATTTCCTCTTATCTTCACTGCAGTAGAAAATTCCCATACAGTTTTCTGAAAGTGCCTCTTGATTTGATGATGGCTTTTGGTGTCGCCTTTGGGTTTTTTGTTTGTTTCTATTTTCTGTTGTCACGATTTGGGTAGAGGAGAGTTCCGTGTGACTAAGGATATAAAGTCACTAGCATTTAAGCATTCCTATGGGATAACTTCTGGGCTTGTGAAATTGCTCTGCAAATAGCAGTCAGCACACTTCTCAAGTGTACTAACTCCATCTGTAGGTTTTATTCCCCTTTAAGAATCTGCTGAGAGAGGGGCTGGAGTTAAGCATGCTTGCTGTTCTTGCAGAGGATCAGAGTTTAGTTCTCAGCACCATATCTGACTGTAACTCCAGCTTCAAGGGATCTCACACCCTCTTCTGGATTCCACAGGCAACCCACACACACACACACACACACACACACACACACACACACACACACACACACAAATTGTAAAAGATGTTAAAGAAAAAGAATCTAATAAAAGATGGGGGATATAAATCTCCCAGAATCTTGGAGGATCTTAGGTTAGCCTGTGCCTTTCATGGTTTGTTTTTTGATCCTTCTGTTAAACTAACTTGGTCTCTGTCTTTTAAAATCCATTTTCAGAGAAGAAAAAGATGATAGTCTTTGATCTCTAGCTCTGTTGAGTTTGAACAAAAGTAATAATCTTTTACCAGGTGTTGTGACATCTATTCTCTGGTGCACATCTTTGATCATTTGTTGGGGATTGTAGTATGGCTTAGTGGTCTAGTTCTTGCCTACTGTGTGTTAGGCCCAGGATTCAGTCCCCAGTACTGTCAAATACACACACACACACACACACACACACACACACACAGAGAGAGAGAGAGAGAGAGAGAGAGAGAGAGAGAGAGAGAGAGAGAGCTGTAAGCCTATAATCCTAGTAGTTTGAAAGTATGAAGGTGGAGACGGGAAGATCAGAAGTTAAATTATCGTCTTCAGCTACATATTGAATTCCTGAGAGCCAGAGCCCACAAGAGAGAGAGAGGGAGGGAGGGAGGGAGGGAGGGAGGGAGGGAGGGAGGGAGGGAGAGAGAGAGAGAGAGAGAGAGAGAGAGAGAGAGAGAGAGAGAGAGAGAGAGAGAGAGAGAGAGAGAGACTATGTTATTTGGACACCAAATTTTTCAGTTTTTTGATTGGTCATTTTTTTTATGAGATTGGATTATCTCTGCGCCTGTCTCTTACCTAAACCCATGGTGTCTTGGTCATTTCTGTCTTTGACTTCATTCTTTAAAAATAAGTTTCGGGGGGCCTGGGTGTGTCTCAGAGTTTAAGAGCCTTGACTGCTCTTCCAGAAGCCCCGAGTTCAGTTACCAGCAACCACATGGTGGCTCACAACCATCTATAATGAAATCTGGCGTGCAGACAGAACACTGTATACATAGTAAATAAGTAAATAAATAAATCTTGTTAAAAAAAGATACATATTTCAGGTTGTTGAACCTCAAAGATCAAAAAGTTGTTTTCCTCAGTGTAGGGGATTAAACCATGGACAAAACACTCCTCTCACAAGAAAACGCAAAGAAATATTTGAAAGAGTTGCAGCAAATATTAAGTTGCTCTGATTTTATTTCTAGGGCCTCCATTTTGAAGGAGGAGTTTGGCTATACTTAGGCTGTGTATCTGATGGTGAGGAGGTGTCTTCAGTGCAAGAAGAGCTCGGTTCTGCCCACTTCCCCTCGGACCTTTTCACTAGATGGTCACCTAACGTAAAGCTTAGTACATGTGCCATGCGTTATGGGGCAATGGTCAGGCATCTTGGCACTTGGCACAGTGTAGGGGCTTATTTTGTATTTGCTGAATGAAAGAATGTGTGGATTTATCTGTGTATACTGATAACTGTTCTGTCAGGGGAAACACAAACAAACACTAGAAAGCAAAAGTTGAGCTCCTTTAGTTCTTAGAAGTTGGGAGGAAGGTGTACGACTACTATCCATGTTTTTTATTTCTTTCAAGTATGCTTTTCTTTCTGGTATTTTCTTTTCTTTTTTTCTTCCTGTTATTGAAAATAATTGTTTTCTTCCTCACATAATATATCCTGAATATGACATCCCCTCCCTCTACTCTTTTCAATTCCTCCCTAACTCCCCTCCCATCTGGATCCACACCCTTTATGTCTCTCATTGGAAAACAAATGGGCTTCTAAGGGATAATACAGAAATAAAATAAAAGATAAGATAAAACAGAACCCAACACATTGGAATTGAACAAGCCAAACACATAGAAGGAAAAAAGCCCAAAGAAGACACAAGAATCAGACACCCACTCATTCATTCACACAGGAATTCATAAAAACACTGAACTGGAAGCATGTGCAGGCCATGTTCATCTTCATTTATTGTTGAGTAACTACATAATCTCAATAAAAGAATGTAGTTTTGTATCATCAAGGCTTTTTTTTCCAAGGTACAGAAAAAGGCAAAGCCAATACTTGTTTAAACAGACAGTGCCCTCTTCCACAGTTGGCTAACATAGTCCCACCTCTCCCTTGCATCAGAATGCCCAGAGCATAGAGAGAACAAGGCAAAAAAAAAAAAAAAGTACACAGAGTCTTCTAAGACTTATCTGGATGCTAACACACAATGCTTTCCCTCATACTTTTATCGCATGGCCATGCCTAGAAGCAATGTGGTGTATACCATGAAACCATGTAGATTGATACAAGCCACGGCTTTGTTAGTGAGGAAGAAAGAGCATATGTACTGGAGAAACAGACCAACCCACTTAATGTAGAAAGTTGAGGTGCAGTGTTTCTGTTTTCTTCTTTCCAAGTTCCAGCAAGGCTTCCAGCACGTTTTATCTGAGTATATGCTGATTCCTGCCCCCTTTTATTCTAGTATACCACTGTGTTTGACTTTATGCATTTTCATGCTGTTCTGCAATACATTTACTTCACCATCTGTTTAAAAGCTTAGTTTCAATTATGTCATACACTAAAAGTATTGAAAATAGTTCCACTGAGACTGACTGCTGGTTACAACCCCTTTGGCAAACTTTTATTTCAAAAATATTTGCAATAGACTCATAACAGTAGCAAAATTACAGTTATGAAGTAGTGACAAAATAACTTTATGGTCGGGGGTCAGCACAACATGAGGAACTGTTTTAAAGGGTCACAGCAGTAGGAAGGTTGAGAAGCACTGCCTTAGACACCGAAAAAGCTTCTGAAGCAGACTGGAAAGGTTGATGTTTCTGTTTCGGTAAACCTTTGTTCTAGAAATGCTAACGGCTATATTGGAGGTTTTTATGTAATGTGTGTAGAAGATGCTTGCTAAGTGATTCCTTGGTGAAAAGTGCTCTCATTGATCATGTTTTTCTATTACATTAAAATTTAAAAATGTTTTAGGCTTTTATCAAGCTCTCCATTTTTGTATGACAACTCGTCAGCTGTGGTGGAGCCATTGCCTTCTTGTTTTGTTTTCCAAACTTAGATATGTATTTCACTTTGATGAACATTAAGGATGATAAAATGATAGGATGATAGAATGAGCTGCAGTTCATTGGTTTATTAACTTTACTAATGCCGTGATCTGAATCATTTTCTTTTTTGTTCTTTAAATGTGTTGGTGTGTGATTATCTTTGTGTGCATGCATGTATGTGTCAGTGTACCTGAGAAGGGCAGAAGTTGAATTCAGTATCGTTCTAGATCACTTTCCACCTTAGTTTTTGAGACTGATTGATCCCCAACGTAGTTTTCAAATTTCGTGATAGTGAATTTATACTTAGCTCTCTTATTCTACATATGGAAGTCAGCTGGACAGGGGTTTGTAACTATAGTGATCCCTTGTCTTCAATTGTAAATTAATATTTACCAGTCACTGAGTACACTGTTAGCCCAGAGACCTTTTTTTTTTTTTTTTTGGTTTTTTACGAGACAGGGTTTCTCTGTATTGTTTTGGAGGCTGTCGGTCCAGCTCAGCCTCGAACTCACAGAGATCCGCCTACCTCTGCCTCCCGAGTGCTGGGATTAAAGGCGTGTGCCACCACCGCCCAGCGCCCAGAGACCTTTTAAGAAACCTTTTGTAATGGAAAATCTTAAGCATGTGTAAATAGAATAATGGATACCATGTACTCACCACCCATCTTTGCAATCCATTTCACCCATTTTGTCACCCATGTCCCACTGCTCGAATGACTTAAACAGATACAAGACCCAGTCTTTCATAATTGCTTACGGCTGATTCTTTAAAAGACAAGTGCCACCCTTGACAGTTCCAAGTGCTCATATGTCATTCCTTGTTTCATGCATTCTTCTTATATTATACAGAGAAAATCTAAATAAGACCCACACACAGTGTTTGTTTGGCTGATATGGGAAGATCTTACATCTCTTAGAATTGATAGCTTTTTCTTCCTTCCTTTATTTTTATATGTGGACCATAAACATATTTCCTTTTAAAGCTGGTCTTAAACTAGGCCCAGCTCAAACTCCCCA